TTGCATTTAGTACATGACACACTTACATTTAGTACACGACACATTTACATTTAGTACATGGCACATTTATATTTAGTACATGGCACATTTACATTTAGTGCATGACACATTTGCATTTAGTACATGACACATTTACATTTAGTACATGACACATTGCATTTAGTACATGACACATTTACATTTAGTACATGACACATTTACATTTAGTAAACGACACATTTATATTTAGTACATGACACATTTACATTTAGTACATGACACATTGCATTTAGTACATGACACATTTACATTTAGTACACGACACATTTATATTTAGTACATGACACATTTACATTTAGTACATGACACATTTACATTTAGTACACGGCACATTTATATTTAGTACATGACACATTTACATTTAGTACACGACACATTTACATTTAGTACGTGACACATTTACATTTAGTATATGACACATTTACATTTAGTACACGACACATTTACATTTAGTACACGACACAATTACATTTAGCACATGACACATTTGCATTTAGTACATGACACATTTGCATTTAGTACATGACACATTTACATTTAGTACACGTCACAATTACATTTAGTACATGACACATTTGCATTTAGTACATGACACATTTACATTTAGTACACGACACATTTACATTAGTACATGGCACATTTATATTTAGTACATGGCACATTTACATTTAGTATATGACACATTTACATTTAGTGCATGACACATTTACATTTAGTACACGACACATTTACATTTAGTACATGGCACATTTACATTTAGTACATGACACATTTACATTTAGTATATGACACATTTGTATTTAGTACATGACACATTTACATTTAGTACACGACACATTTACATTTAGTATATGACACATTTGTATTTAGTACATGACACATTTACATTTAGTACATGATACATTGCATTTAGTACATGACACATTTACATTTAGTACACGACCCATTTACATTTAGTACATGGCACATTTATATTTAGTACATGGCACATTTACATTTAGTACATGACACATTTACATTTAGTGCATGACACATTTACATTTAGTACACGACACATTTACATTTAGTACATGACACATTGCATTCAGTACATGACACATTTACATTTAGTACATGACACATTTACATTTAGTACATGACACATTTATATTTAGTACACGACACATTTACATTTAGTACATGACACATTGCATTTAGTATATGACACATTTACATTTAGTACACGACACATTTATATTTAGTACATGACACATTTACATTTAGTACATGGCACATTTATATTTAGTACATGACACATTTACATTTAGTACATGACACATTTACATTTAGTACGTGACACATTTACATTTAGTATATGACACATTTACATTTAGTACACGACACATTTACATTTAGTACACGACACAATTACATTTAGCACATGACACATTTGCATTTAGTACATGACACATTTGCATTTAGTACATGACACATTTACATTTAGTACATGTCACAATTACATTTAGTACATGACACATTTGCATTTAGTACATGACACATTTACATTTAGTACATGACACATTTACATTTAGTACACGACACATTTGCATTTAGTATGTGACATATTTACATTTAGTACATGGCACATTTACATTTAGTACATGACATATTTACATTTAGTACACGACACATTTGCATTTAGTACATGGCACATTTATATTTAGTACATGACACATTTACATTTAGTACATGACACATTTACATTTAGTACACGACACATTTACATTTAGTACACGACACATTTACATTTAGTACACAACACATTTACATTT